CGGCCACCGCAGCCTCGACCTGCTGGGCGCCGGTGATCCTTCCGCCTCAGCCTTCCAAGTAGCTGGAACCACACACGCTACCGATGAAAAAGTTTTAAAATTGGATTGTGGTGATGGTAACAAAACTGTAAATTTACTGAAAATCATTGAATTGTACACCTAAAACAAGAGAATTTTTATGCCTCAATAAAGCTGTTTTAAAAAATTTTTTTTAGCCGGGCTTGGTGGCTCAGCCTGTAATTCCGCGCTTTGGGAGGCTGAGGTGAGTGGATTGCCTGAGCCCGTGGGTTTGAGACCCGCCTGGGCAGCGAGACCTCATCTCTGCAATAAATAAAAAAATCAGCCGGGTGTGGTAGCGCATGCCTGTAATTCCGGCTACTCGGAAGGCTGAGGCGGAACGATCGCTGGAGCCCAGCAGGTCGAGGCTGCGGTGGCCGGGAGAGGCCACTGCACTCCAGTCTGGGCGTCAGAGTAAGACTCTAACTCAAAAAAAAAAAAAAAATTTTTTTTAGTATCTTCCCCTGGCTGAGACTCTGGTCTGAGTATTTAAAATGCCAACATGAAAAATGAGAAATGTAGAAAGACAGAATGTTTTTAAATATGGGAAAAGGCTTAGCCGGGCGCTGTTGCTCACACCTGTAATCCCAGCACTTTGGAAGGCAGAGGCAAGAGGATTGCCTGAACCCAGGAGCTCGAGACTAGCCTGGGGAACTTGGTGAGACCTTGTTTCTACAATAAATCACAAACTTAGCCAAGTGTGGTGGCATGCCCTTGTGGTTCCAGCTACTTGGAAGGCTGAGGTGGAAGGATTGCCTGAGCCCAACAGGTCAAGGCTACAGTGGCCATAAGCATGCCACTGCACTCCAGCCTGGGCAACAGGGTGTGAAACTCTACCTCCAGAAAAGCTGTTTAGGTGTGGCCCCCAATCTGTGGTTACCAGACACAGCCACAAAGACTGACAATGTGGACAGTAGGATGTTCACTGGATGCCATGACTGGCAAGCACCTATCCCCTTCTGAAGGTGAGGCTCCTGGAAACAGGAGGACAGAGCAAGTCTCTCAGCTCTAAAGACCTGCCCTTCAGGAAAGCCAGACTTAGAGGCGTGCTGTTGGACACTAAAGAAAAGCAATTCTGCCGAGCACGATGACTTAGCCTGTAATCCCAGTACTTTGGGAGGCCGAGGTGAAAGGATTGCCTGAGCCTGGGGGCTCAAGACCAGCCTGGGCAACTTGGTGAGACCTCATCTCTACAGTACATCACAAAAATTAGCCAGGTATGGTGGCATGCACCTGTTGTTCCAGCTACTTGAAAGGCTGAGGCGGAAGGATCACCTAAGCCCAGTAAGTCGAGGCTGCAGTGGCCATGAGCGTTCCACTGCACTCCAGCCTAGGTGACAGAGTAAAACTCTGACTCAAAAAAAAGAAAGGAAAGGAAAGAAAAGAAAAAGCAATTCAGCCAGGCACAGTGGTTCATGCCTGTAATCCCAACATTTGGGGAGGCCCACACAGGAAGATTGCTAGAGTCCAAGAGTTGGTGACCTGTCTGGGCGACATACCAAGACCTTGTCTCTACCAAAAAAGAAAATTAGCCAGGCATGATAGTGTACACCTGTAGTCCCAGCTACCAGGGAGACTGAGGAGGAAGGATCACCTGAGCCCAGGAGGCTGAGGCTGTGGCGGTTGGTGATCGTGCCACTACACTCCAGTCTGGGTGACAGAGTGAGACCCGAACTCAAGAAAAAAAAAGCAATTCAGAAAACTTCCTCCAGTTGTGATAATACAATGAGAGAAGGAAAAGGGGATATTCAAGAATAACTTAGAAGTCAGAGTCATCTGACATATCAGGTGTGGAGACCACCCTCTGGCTTCCTGTGTTACACCATGGCCTCTCTGGTCCAGGCCTGCAACCTATCTCACTTGATGGTCCAGTGGCCTCTTAACTGCTCTCCCTGGTTTCACTCTTGTCCCCAATAACCAATTCCTCACGGAGCAGCCAAAACAGGCTTTTATAAAATGCACATCTGTCTATCCATCCATCAACCAAAGTCCTCAGTGCCTTCCTGTCTCCCTCAGGGTGGAAGCCAGTGACCTCACAGTAACGGTGCCCCATGTCCTGTGCAAGCTGCCCAGGCCGCTCACCACTCTGACTTGAATGGCCAACTGCGCTCAGCCCTCCCTCACCTGACTCAGCCACCGCTCAGCCTTTGAGGTCTGTCCAGCCCCTAACCCTGGACTCCTTCCCATCTCACAGGTCTCTTCGTTCCTTTGCCAGGGATTCTCCCTGCAGTTCCACACGACTCCCTTGTTCACATCACTGGCATCCCTGCCCAAAGGCCACCCTCAGAGAGGCCTCCCTGACCGTCTCGTCCCACTCACAGTCACATCATCTACTTTCTTTCCTTCACCACACTAAATATCGCTTGGAATTCTCTCATTCATTTAGGCCTTTGCGGCCTCACACCACGTCCCACTGAAAGCTCCAAGAAGACAGGAACTCACCTCTGTGAACCGGACGCCGGGCACGGGGCCGGCACACAATAGACCCTCAGTAAATACTTATTGAAGAAACAAATGAATGGACATGTTAATGTCCCATCTCCCTATGTGTGCATCTCCTAAATAGACAGTGTCAGTGTCCTTCCCAAGAATTCACTCAGAGCTTGGTGAAACTAAGCCCCAAACAGCCCCTTGTCCCCACCCCCCAAAATAAGTCCAGCTGAGTTACCAATGATGACACCAACTTCGCAGGAGGGATCGTCATAGGCACACGTCATCATGGTCCCCACCGTGTCATTGACCAAGGCCAAGATGTCTACGTCTATGTCCTGTGGAGCATAAGGCCAGGGGGCATCAGTGGGTGAGAAGGAGGTGTTTTCTCTTCCTGTTTCCCCACAGAGGAAGCAAAAGCAGTGAAGGTGACTGACCAGGCATCACCAGATCCTGCCTGCTGGGCCTGCTGGAGGAAGGAAGGCCTCTATCAAGGTTTGGGTCTAGGCGAGAGAAAGAACTGTTGGGAGCTGAAGAGGGGAAGACTGTGTTCCTGTTTTGTAGGTAAAGGCCTCTGTGCAGTGGAAATAAGAGGGACAGACCACCAGGACCCCAGCCTATGCTTTCTGGTTGTTTATACATTTTTATTTATTTAATTTTTTTTAAAGATGGGGGTCTCACTATGTTGCCCAGGCTGGAGCTCGTGTCTATTCAGAGGTGTGATCACAGCTCACCACAGTCTAGAACTCCTGGGCTCAAGTGATCTTCCTGCCTCAGCCTCCCAAGTAGCTAGGACTACAGGTTTGCACTGCATCCAGATTTCAACCCTCATTGAGGGACACTGGGAAGACACCAAGGAAAGCCTGTTTATCATGGGAGCAATGACACTTCCAGGTGAAAACCCCAAAGTCCTCATCCACAGGGACATAGCTAGCAAGCACAGCATCAGCCAATTCCTTGCCATGTGCCACATCATGGCTTTCTGTCTGAACTTCCCGTTCTGCTGAGTTAACCTGGGTTACTATCCCAACACCCTCCAGGTTTGGGAGGAGCATTTTAAAGTAAAATGAGGCCAGGCATGGTGGCTCATGCTTGCAATCCCAGCACTTTGAGAGGTGGAGGTGAGAGGATGGCCTGAGCCCATAGGTTTGAGACCAGTCTGGGCAATATGGCAAGACCTCGTCTCTACAATAAATAAAAAAAATTAGCTGGATGTGGCGACGCACACCTGCAGTTCCAGCTACTTGGAAGGTTGAGGCGGAAGAATCACCTGAGCCCAGCAGGTGAGTGTGCCACCGCACCCCAGCCTGGGCAACAGAATGAGACGCGAACTCAAAAAAATAAAAAAAAAAACGAGGGTTGGGCATGGTGGCATGAACCTGTAGTCCCAGCTACTCAGGAGGTTGAGACAGGAGGATCTCTTGAGCCTAGGAATTTGAGACTGTAGTGTGTAATGGTCACACCTGTGAATAGCCATTGCACTTTGGCCTGGACAATAAAAACAATAAGAGAAAAACGCAGGCAATGAGATAATCTGATCCTAGCTTTTGTTTTGTTTTGTTTTTCTTTTTAGCGGCAGGTCTCGGTGGAAGAGAAAAATGACAAAATGAGAGAGTGGCAGATCTCAGTGGAACCTTCAAAAATGTTAGGGTCACACTCTCCTAGCAGGGCCTCCAGAATGTTAGGTCAGGCCCGCTGGGGGTATAGGTGTCTGGGGTGCGACCTGATGCCGCATAAAAGATGCAAAGAATTGCACAGAAGTTAGAATAGAAAACACAGTTTAGGCCAGGCTTGGTGGCTCAGCCTGTAATCCCAGCACTTTGGGAGGCCAAGGTGAGTGGATTGCCTGAGCCGGCAGATTCGAGACCCACCTGGGCAACTTGGCGAGACTTCATCTCTACAATAAATCAAAAATTAGCTAGGCGTGGTGGCACGCGCCTGTAGTTCCAGCTACTTGGAAGGCTGAGGTGGAAGGATTGCCAGAGCCCAGCAGGTCGAGGCTGCGGTGGCTGGGAGCGGCCACTGCACTCCAGTGTGGGTGACAGAGTGAGACTCCAACCCAAAAAAAAAGGAAGAAAACACAGTTTATTTAAAGTCAATTAGAGAGGGAGAGAGAGAGAGAAAGAAGATTCACTTCCCCAAGGTGGGTGAGGGGGTCAAAGCCAGGAAGCATGAGGACACCAGAGTCTAGCAAGGCAATGGCCCATATGATCCTAGCTTTAAAGAAAAAAAGGGCTGTAAGGATATGCAGCCAAATATGCCTCTTGTTGTCAGAGTAACAAGCAATTTGGGTTCATTTGTGTACTTTTCAGTTAAGCAAGGAACAGATCTGCTTTTGCAGTTATTTAAATTATTGTAAAATAGATTCAACAGAGACATTCGATGACTAGAAAGCGGAGGGTGAAGCCAGGCTCAGTGGCTCAGCCTGTAATCCCATACTTTTGGGAGGCTGAGGTGAGTGGATTGCCTGCGCCTGCGGGTTCGAGATCTGCCTGGGCAACTTGGCGAGACCTCATCTCTACAATAAATCAAAAAATTAGCCGGGCGTGGTAGCACGCGCCTGTAGTTCCAGCTACTCGGAAGGCTGAGGCGGAAGGATCGCCGGAGCCCAGCAGGTCGAGGCTGCGGTGACTGGGAGCGGCCACTGCACTCCAGTCTGGGTGACAGAGTGAGACTTCGACTCAAACAAACAAACAAACAAACAAAGCGGAGGGTGGAACAGAAAGAAGCAGCCTGGAAAGTGCTCTTTTTCAGCCTCAAAGAGGAGGGGCAGGGCTTATGCGCAGTTTTGGTCTAAGGAGACCTCCTGAAGGAACTGTGGTTACTGGAGAGGCCAGGATGCCTTTCAGGGGCAATTGATGCAAGCCCCACGGGCCAAGGCTCACTGGTGGGCTTGTCCGAACTGGCCATCTGTGTACTATGGTGGAACTTCCCTAAGATCAATTCCTTCCAGGCACCATCGCATGCGACCCCCAGAGAAAGGGGGTAGGACAGCGAGAGCCTCCCAGGCAGGGTGAATTCCTCACCTTGTGTTTTTTTATGGCTTTGGTCAGGTGGCTCACGACATCTATGTCCTGAACTCCTCGCACCTTGAACTTCTTCGTCCACGAAAGCAGGATACCCTGTGGGAAGATTTCAGATCCAGTCCTAAGGAAGGCGGCGCTCGGATGGAAAACTGAGCTGCAGAAACTTCACACCTAAAATGCACCCCCACGGCCCTCTCTTCTGCAAGCAGAATCACCCCAGTTCTTCTAACATTGCTTTTTGAGGCCTTTCCTAATAATAAGCAACTTCGTTACTCTCAGCTGAGTAGTTTGAAACATATGGTAACAGAAAGAGCAATCGCTGAAGAGTTAGAGCACTAGGATTCATCAGACACAGGGTAAGTGGTTGAACCTCTTTGAGCCTAAGTTTACTCATCTGTAAAATGGAAATATCACCTCCCTGCCTCTCTCAAAGAAAGGTTCTAATGAAAATAATTAGGCCGGGCTCAGTGGCTCAGCCTGTAGTCCCAGCACTTTGGGAGGACAAGGTGAGTGGATTGCCCGAGCCCGCGGGTTGGAGACCAGCCCGGGCAACTTGGTGAGACCTCATCTCTACAATAAAAATAAAAATAAAAATAAATTAGCCAGGCGTGGCAGCGTGCCTGTAATTCCAGCTACTTGGAAGCCTGAGGCGGAAGGATCACCAGAGCCCAGCAGGTCGACACTGGGGTGGCCACGAGTGTGCCACTGCATTCCAGCCTGGGTGACAGAGTAACACTCCAACTCAAAAGAAAAAAAAAGAAAATAACTAGTGTATTACACATTAACTAGTGTAGGATGCATGGTTTGCCAGGTTCACAAACCATGTTAGGACCAACATGGCATAACTTTGCATGACTCTCTCAGGAACTTAATTTCCACTTAGAAAAATGATACTTGCTGGGCTTGGTGGCTCAGCCTGTAATCCTGCACCTTTGGGAGGCTGAGGTGAGTGGATGGCCTGAGCCCGCGGGTTCGAGACCCGCCTGGGCAGCGAGACCTCATCTATACAATAAATCAAAAATCAGCCAGGTATGGTAGCACGCACCTGTAATTCCAGCTACTCAGAAGACTGAGGTGGAAGGATCGCCAGCCCAGTGGGTCCAGGCTGCGGTGGCCGGGAGCAGCCACTGCACTCCAGTCTGGGCGATGGAGTGAAACTCCAACTCAGAAAAAAAAAGAAAAATGATACTCAGCTGTATGCATAGACAAATGTCTGTAGTCCCAGCTAATTGGAAGGATGAGGCAGGAGGATCGCTTGAGCCCAGGAGTTTGAGGCCAGCCTAGGCAACACAGCAAGACTCTGCTAAAAAAAAAAAAAAAAAAAAGGAAAAAAATCGTTCTCAATTCTCATTATCAATTATTGCCTACAAATGGCATTTCTCCAAGAGTCTCATGTCTAAAATCGGAAATAATCATAGTTTTTTTTTTGTTTTTTTTTTTTTTTTGGAGTCAGAGTCTTCCAAGTAGCTGGAACTACAGGGACGAGTTACTATGTCTAGCTTATTTTTTTTTTCTTTCTTGTAGAGACGAGGTCTTGTCAAGTTACCCAGGCTGGTCTCGAACCCGTGGGCTCAGGCAATCCTCTCCGCCTCCCAAAGTTCTGGGATGACAGGCGTGAGACACTGTGCCCGGCTAATCATATAATATTTTTCGATTGGAAGACAACTAGGAAGTTGAGAGAATTGCCCAAGTTTGCTTAGGCAAGAGCAGCTGACCCCAAATTCACAAGCTCCCTGACCACACCTCCCACAATCCTCTCAATTTATGGATAAACACCCTGAGAGGTAGAAAGGAAGGAAATGTCTCGAGACTTCCCACAAAGAGTGAAGGACAGGGCCCAATTGGAATGCAGGTCTCTGACTTCCGATCAACCCCAGGGTTTTTTTTTCCTGAACCACAGCGCCGCCGTGTGGCAGCTCTCTCTAACTTCTGCTCTCACTGGCTATGGCAACATCGTTGCTTCACACGACAGAGGGGTGTACAGGGGGGCTTTCCCCAAAAAAGGGTGCTAGAGACGGCGTGCGACCTGCCAGGGGAGGGTGTGTGGAAAAGTGAAGGATAAATGCTTGTCATATGATGTTAAATGATAACATGCAGTTGCATATAACTGTGTGTGTGTGTGTGTGTATATATATATATATTTTTTTTTTTTTTTTTTTTTTTTTTTT